GGAAAAAAGTGGCAACGTGGAAGTGCAATTTATTCTCGAATCCTTCGAGAGAAATAAAATAAATTATTGCTGTTTTACAAAATTTCTGTGTTTTCCGTATATCTCCGGATATACTCGGAATTTTAGAACTTTCTCATCGGCATATTGTCAGTCAGGTGAATGCGCAACTTTGTTTTAATTCAACTGTCTTCGTATCTCTCATAGTTTCCGAGATCCCAATGGTGAGGATCGAACTTGAAACACCCAGTAAAAAAGTTGTTGTTTCGAGAGGGTTTTTACTTCCAGTTTATATATGAAAGTAACTTCTATGCATGATCTTTATAAACAGTTCATTTAGAACTCAATTGCTTTCTTCCTTAATCTGGATGTTTTCATTAATGGTTTGTATGACTATGTATATGGAGAAGTGAAAATCAAGAAGCTTTTCATTTTCAAAAACTAATTTATCCAAAAAATTATCCATTTCAATTTAAGTATAATACTTGAAGTTTTTTTCAAGTTCATGTTGTGAAGTTCTTTTTGAATAACAAACTTTAAAGGGTACCAAAAGTTTGAGCCAGCCGAAATTTATGCTCAGTGAATTAGGAACATCTCGCATAAATGAGAATTTTGTATGATTTCCTTTCAATAACGCCTCCTGGGCGTTTATAAAAGATATCGGAAAAGTCAAATGAAATCTCTAGGATAAAGCGATAACTAAGTTCAAAGTCCGCTGAAATCGTAACCTCATTTCCGAAGCAATTTCCAGCTGGTTTTTCGGTCACAGACACGATAAACGACGACTACGAAAATATTTATGTTCACAAATACAGAAAAAAGAATGAAATAACTTCGCGTACTGATATTTTCCCAGAAACCGTGAAATAGACGCAGTTAACACTTTCATGACAGCTTATTCGATTTATTTTTATATTTCCACCGAAACCTGATGATTCGGTTTCTCGGTGTTCCCATTCGAAAAAAATCGTATCATCTTGCTGAAAATAGCATCGTGATCGAAAACTACAGATGATACAAATGCAGAAAGAGAAATGCGCTTTTGTTACTTACATTGTGTTGGAGAGGACAAGGAAGGCATTGTGATTTTTTCGACGCTGCAAACCACTTTTGAACAACAAGGAACTTTCACTCTATCATCAAAAATCCACGTTTTGTAGGAATTCTCAGATACCATACACAAACAACTATGATGTATAAAGAATTTTGTCTAATTTTAAACTCTCTGGAACGAAGTTTTGTGCTAGTCAGGCCGCGCGCGTTCAACGTTTTTCTTTTCTTTCAGTTTTCAGCGATGCGCTTTTCACTGGTGTTACACTGTTGCCAGAATGACACTAAAAATCCTTATATCACCTGATTTTCTAACACTGTGATTCTCTAAAGAAACTGATGCGAACCATTCCATGTGAAGAGCATCGATATCCTAAACTCACTACGTACAAGGAAACTGAATTACAAATTGAAAACAAAGATATATTATCCTACTGCACAAATATGTCCGAACCAAAGATGAAACCTCATTTGTCAACATTCAACAGCTGGAGTACTCACTCTCACTTGGCAGCCTCAAACATGAACTTGACAACGTCGGTGGTATTCGAAGAATAAAACACATGCTTTGTTTGTGGTACATAATTTTCAGTCACGGTCATGCCAAATTTTGTTTATTATCATGTATATGTGGAAAAAAGTTTACGTGCGTTTTTCAAATATAAAGCATTTCTAAGATTCAATGACGTACAATTATTTGTTATTGTGAGTTTGGAATAGAAGTTTGCTACTCAAAATATTGCGCTAATGAGTACCTATCGTTTGTTATTTCTTTCGAAATTATTTATCAAATGGGTATCAATATTATTATAATACAAAAACAATTATAATTCGCAAATGATAAATGGAAAATCCATTTACAGTTTTTAGAATTCTGTATCGGTCGATATTCTTCACTATTGAATCCTTTTGTCTCTCCACTAACTAGTGAGTTCAACGAGGAATCATTATTGTGGAAAATTTGCCAATCAACATTCTCTAGGGACCGTTTCATAGCTTCCAAGCCTTTGTGATTGATTTTTCTGTGCCATTTATACGTACAGCTTCGGGAGTATATTTGGTGATAGAAATGAATTGTCCACTATGATCAGAAATGGCAGGATCTGATATTCTCGTAATACACTCACTATCGTTTAAGTTGATAATAATGTTATCTATACAGGTAGAGCTTTTGGAGTTCGTTCTTGTAGGAATAGTCATTTTGGGTTTCAGACCAAAAGATTCAATGGTGTTTAGCCAAGATGTACATACAGAACTTTTTTCATTTATGTTAATGTTGAAGTCACCGGTAAGTATAATATTATTGTAATTGGGTAATAACAAAGTTAGAAGTTCTTCAACTTTATTGAAGAATAAGTCATATTCTTTCGACAGTGAGAATCTACGAATTATTATGAGAGCAGTGTTCGTGTTTGTTAATTCAATTCCACAAAATTCTGCATGTTGTTCAATACAGAAATCATTCAAAAGGAGAGGTTTACATGTGACGTTATTACGAATATAAATAGAGACTCCTCCATGTTGAAGGGTTTATCTACAAAAGTAACTTATAAGGTTATAATCATTGAGATTTACAGATATGCTCCGATAGACATATAATGTCATAATCTTCGTTTTCGAGATATAGCTGAAACTGTTCTACTTTATTGCTAATACACTGAACATTGAGATGGAAAATCTTCAGCTCATTATTTTGAAGATGTTCTTTATTAGAGTCTATACAAAAAAAAATTGAGGTTGAGAAGTAACTACTCCCTTTTATATTGGTCTGTTCTTCCAAGAACCTCCTACCTTTTCGAAAGTCAAACCTTTCAAAAGCTATATTTCTAGGCCAAAGGTTAGGATTATAGATTGCTTGAAGGTTATCTGGGTTTACTCCCACCAAGTCTAGCTTTTTGACACTGATGTCTAGAGAGTTTAATTTGGTTTGCAAATAGGTACAAATGTTCTCTTGAGTTGTGTTATCAGGAACTCTGGTAACGTAGAGCCAAAGCTTTTTGCTTTGTTTTTTCCTGGAAATGTTCATCCCCCCTCTCCTGTTCCAACAATTACTTTCTTAGGTTTCCTATGCCTTCTCTTGGGCATCACAAAGTCATCATTGGAATTATTCCTCTCTTCCGGCACTAGGCTAATAGTTTTATTCATCATATTTAGTTCTTCATCTTGTTTGGGTTGCATTTGTAAATCACCCTATATTGGGATTCCATCAACATTGTTACTATTGCCACTGTCTAAATGTATTATTTCGTTGGTTTTTTATTCTGAGATTATCCTATGAGTCATCAGAGAAATATTTTTTTGTTCCTCACTAGCAGAAACTTTTTTCTGATCTGCAGCTGTATAAGTTTTTTTGGCTTCCACCTTCTCTGGTTTTTGTTTCGGGCCGTGACTGGAATGTTTCGTATGGATATTATTTGCTGATAACAAATCGATTTGGATCTTCAATAGGTTGATTTTTTCTTTGAGTTCATAGATTATGGCATCCTTCTGCTTAAGAATGTATTTGATCAACACTGGATTGGATCTACACTCTCTGGTAGAGATTTCGTCAATTGTATGGTAGAAAACATCATCCATTTCGAAACTTGGTGATTCCATAACCTCATGCAGACACACTGGATTTTTCGTTTGGAGCGATTGCTTCCAGCACCCCGGATGAAAATTATGCTTACACTTGTAGCAGAGTATTTTGTCCTTAATTATATTTCTGTTGCACTGTTTGCAGATTGGGAAATTTTTATTTTCATTGGGAGCATCTAAACACGAACTTGGCCCGTCGGCCATGTTGATATATATGCAACACCCTGTATTTGGTATCAGTTTTAAATAATCCGTAAAGAGCTGATTCCGAAAAGGTATGATACTTGGGGTCTAATGGACAGAATTTAAAAGATGTGAGCTTAGAAAATAAATTTTATTGATATCTA